ATGTTCTCTACCTTAAGAATGCACAGGACCAGCCTAGATTCTACAGCAACCCTTCCCGAGACTACCTTTTTCAGTAAGGCTGAAACCAAGTTTAGCAGCGGCTTTGTAAATAAGCACTTCCCATTGAGTTCATCAGCCTTGAACATTTAAGAGAAGTAATGAATGCACTTGCATTCTGGAGCACTGGGAGCCAACGAACAAGGTCATTCCTCGGGCACTGGCCCCTGAGATCTCATGTGTGACGTTCCATGGAGGAACACGGGAGGACCTAAAAGCACTTCATTAGTGACTGATGACCTCTGTCATCAACATGGATGATGCCCCATAGAACACGGGTAAAAAGTAAAACTTACACAGAGAGCAAGGGAGCACCGATGAAGTCTGACTGGCAAGAACAGAGACACCACAGAGATGGGATTAATTCCCAAATCCGCTAGTGACTGCTGGTATGACCTTGGGTGAAGATGTCGTTGCTATAACGGGGCGTCAGTGATAAAAGTAGGGGGAAGGTAAGGATGACCAACGGTGTGAACAGGGCTTGTACCGGGCAGGAACGCTAATAACTAGGAACTACTGTCACTATGAAAGGATGAATTCTGATCATCTTCACTCCACACCTTCGTTCTTTGTTCATCCAAACATTTCTATGTCTTCGGGAGGGACTGAACACATCCCCTGCACACGCTAAGCCAGGCTAGCCTCTAACACAAGACCCTCACTTGACCGTCAGCCCCCTTCGGAAAACTCAGGTTGAGCTTCCGGAGGGCGGGGCTGCTCGGCTGCAAAGCCCCAGGGCCTGGCATGCCGCTGTGCACAGAACGGGCCGGGACAGCTTGTATATTATTGACTGGGTGGTCGTGTGAGTGATTTTGCTCATATTGCTGGGGTGAATGTCCTATATTATTTCCTATGAACTGTCCCCTGCTACCTTGTTAAGAGTGACGGCCCTATTTATCTCTGTCGCAGAGACCATTAGTTTCTCCACAACACAACCCAGCAACCACGCCGACGCCTCAGCTCGGCCTAGCAAAGTGACCTGCACATGGCGGGTGCTCTCGAAAAGTGTTCTGGGTAAATGCGGTTCCTGGATTACAACCAAGTACGTTCCCACGTTTGAATGTGAAAAACCATAACCAAATATTGGAAGGCACTGGGGGGAAAACAGTGCCTTGAAGTATTGCAGTTAAGAACTCACATTCACTGGAATGTAAACCTGAGGAAAAACTAAGCCACTTAGGAGCTTAGGTACCTCTGTTTCCTGAGACCAAAAGTAAAAGTACAATAAAAGTGAAGCCTCCTACGCTCTCCAACAAAGCTACTGAAACAGGTCTTCGGAGACATTTGGGATGTCTGTTTTCTTAACTGCTGGACTCCATTTAAAGTCCCAGCTCCATTTACTTACTAGCCACGTGACCCTGGCTAGTAAAAGAAAATTGTCTCCAGGCCTCAATTTTCTTCTCTGTAAAATGGAGCTAACAATTGTCCCTCCCCGCCTAAAGCTCCTTTGAAGGAGCTCAAGGAGAGCATGCGTGCAATATGCCCACGTGGGCCTGGTACAGAGCAGCCGCTCAAAAAGTGGGCAGAACAAGCCTCCTTCACAGGCACCAAGGACAAAACGCTAGCCCAATATTAAATAACCAAGCGAACCTTCGTTGGAGTCTCCCTTTCAACAAGCGCTAAGCAACGACCAATCCTTTAAATGGAGGGTCTCTCCTGTCCACCCCCCCGCCCCCCTGCCCCCACCCCTGACAGTGGTCCAGGAATGCCTGTTTGCTCCTTTCTCAGGAAAACTGTCTTCTCCTGGCCTCCTAGTCATTTACTCATAACTTCCAAATGGTCACGAGTAAAATAGACACGTCAGTGTGCTTTGGTTGCTGAATAAGCAAAACACTGGCTTTCTGCTTGGAAAACACTCACACACCAGGATGAAACCTTGGCAGCCAGTCCATCCCTGCTTCCCAAAGGCAGCCACTCATTGTGTGCCAGCCACATTCTGCCTCCCTGATTCACGGGGACCCTTCACCCCCACGGTGAAGCCCAGAAGGAAGCTCTGCTTCTTTTACTGTCTTTCTGCCCCATTTCCTACAGTGCTCATCACAGAGAGATTTCAGTGAAAGCACCAGTGTCTGCAAAGCACAACACTCTTTGCCAATGACAGAGCAAAAGGGAAAGTGTGGGTTAATCTCGGGTTCCACGCTCGCAGCTCTAATACAGTTTTTTAGTTGAGACTTAATGCATGTTAATTAGGAACCCAAAGAGCAAAAAAGCTAGTAAACAAACAAGACGACACTCAATTACCAGAACTGGAAAAGATTTTTTTTAGAGAAATAATTCCAAACTGCCCAAATTAATTCCTATTCATTCCTGAGTTTCCACATCACCAAAAAAGTACCCAAAAGTTCTATGCCTAAGAATAACCACAAGACAACACAATGTTCTTCAAGATTCCATGTATCTCACTTGTGAAGCAAATGCCAACAAGATTTTGTGGTTTGCCCTGAAACTTCTCCTTATATTTTGAGAGTAATAACCTTAAGCCTCATATTTTTTAAGAGTTAAATTCTGATCCACTGAAGATGTTTGTAATAATGCATCCCTACTATATATGTAAGCTTAGGGGGGAAATAAAAATTCAACTGTGACAGTTATCTATCAGTAAGAAGCTAAAGGGTACAGTCTACATTTATGCAAACGGCAATCACTCATGAGTCCAACCTCATGGGATATGATTCAAGAGTTAAAAGATAGAGACTGGGGGCAATGACTTCTTGACCGGTACTGTACTCAAGTTCAGAAAGAGTGTTACAAAATTGCTGTGCCATTCTGAGTAAAACATTTACTGTTATATTTTTGAGAAAAATGGATATTATCATGTACTTTAACATGCCACTGTGAAATCTCTAGCCTGGTTCCAATTTCCTTCTCAAGTTCATAGGTGATCACATTTATATTGTGATTGGGTCTATTTTTCTACCCATCCTTGCAAAATATTGTCTCTCTCTTACACACACACACATACACACACACACACACACACACACACACACACACAGATGCATCTCTTGCATTTGCTTTTAAATTTAGCTACATCCCGCTAAGACCAAGAGCAACAGCACATAATTCAACTCTAAGCCGACCCTCTGGTGTTGCTGCAAAATACGGGCATGTGCCGCCACAAAGAGCATCACCCACTACCTACCCTTATCACACCCCACCCAAACAGAACACAGCAACACTATCAGCAAGTGCAGAAAGGGAAAGTTAAACTAACTGACAGCTCTATCAGCAGGCACTGAAGAAGCTGTCTAGGAGGAAAACGATCTCACAGTCTAACCAGTATCACATCCTTCAACGGCATATACAATTAGTGCAGGAAAAGGATGCAAATGTATCAGCATATTCCAATTTATCAAAATGAAGTGCAGGACCGACCCACAATGGGGCGGAACGCCTGGCACCTCCATCTAATCCCGGACACTAAGCTTCAAGAGAGTGCAAAAGTGACAGTTCACAGAAACAAACACACAGACAAAGGTCCATTTACCTCTCTGGCTTTCAAACGAACCTAGTTAGGTGGCATTCCTCCAAATGAATTTCAAAATTTAGTTCCATAACCCAACAGTTACTCGAAAAAACTCTGCGAACCATCCTCAATAAGCATAAAACATTCAGACTAATTTGCAGCACCTGGCAGGCAACAAGGACCATCTTCCCCCCTCCCCCCACACCCAGTACTAACAGAAATCTCTCCTTTCCTAAAATTTAGAATTCCTGTGCTTCAGCATACCAGACCTACGTCTGAAGAGCAAGTATTAAAACTCCATTATCGAGAGCAGTTTGCCCACAGAAGCCCAAGCTTGTCAACATAAAAAGAGCGCAGACCACGGTGAGCTTACATCAGAAGGAACTCCCCAAACCTCAAATACACCAACCCAGGATAATCCACCAAGAAAAAAAAAAGATCTGCTTTCTGAACTTCCCCCACTGCTGTCTTTTTCGGCTGAAATAGGTTTGGCTTGTTTGGAGGGGAGTGGTGCTTTATGGCACTTACAGATGGTGCCAAGTTCCAGGGCAGATGTCCTATTTTCACTGAGGTTCAGAGGCTTCTGCAGATCTTGGGCATGTGGGTCCTTACCTATTCATCCCACCCTATCACCAACTCACTTACTATTTTAAAGGAATTCGCTATGCCCTTGGCCCTGTCCCCAGACACTCACAAGGGTTCCCTGGAGGGTCTAGATAGGAGCTGTTCTTCTTGCAGTTTCTGCACCCCACCCCCACCCCCTGCCAGCGCTTCCAGGCAGAAGGGCCTCAGGTCTCCGTTCACAGCTGTGAGTGCCCTGCGGGCAGGTCCTGCTGGCGCAGCAGCCTCCAGCACAACCGAAGCCTCCCGAGGGGAGCCGGGTGGGGACCTGTCCCCACAGATCTCTCCTTGCACTCAGGGCTTTAGACACCAGGACTAGAGGGTAGGAATCCTGGGGTGGAGGCGGCCCCAGCCAGCGTTCCCTTGCCTATGCGGCTAAACCTGCCTGGCCAAGCCCTGGAGAAGTGCATTCACTGACCATCTCCCTGTCCCTTGCTGGTGACCTTGGCCACGTTGCTAAGCCTCGCTCTGCCCTCGGTGGCCTGACACCACCTACTTCGCGGGTTATAACAGGATCAAAGATGTGGAAAGCATCGAGCAGACTGCCTAGCACCCAGGAAGGGCGAAAGATAGGATGAAGACTTCCCTCTTCTTCTTGCGGGTGCCCGGGGCTCGCTCAGTCCTCTGCCCACCTCCAGCCTCGGGGGCGGGGGGCGGTCGGCGCCCCCCTGGCACAGGGGGCAAGGGGCTGGTCATCCCAGGTCCCCGGTCCAGCCAGGAGCCAGGGGTCCGAGAGGGGGTGTGGCTCCCCAGACCCAAACATCCCTGGCTCAAGAATCAAGGTGATCCAACTGCTGGGCAGTGGCTGCGGGAGGTCCCCGGAGGGGCGTGCGGGGGGGCGCCGGCCTCGACCTACCTCCTCCAGCAGGGTTACGGTGTTCCTGCAGTTGTGCAGCCGCGTGGTGAAGCTGGACGTGGTAGGCGAGTTGTAGTCTTCGGTGGTCTCGGCGATGAACTCGGAGACGGAGATCTGGTCCGGCATCCTGCCGGGGGGGCGAGACACAGGCGGGGAGTGAGTCACGGCGCAGGCTCCCGGGGCCGCGGGCCGCCGGGCGGCTCATGAACGCCCCGCGCAGCCCGCCACCCGCCGCCCGGCCTGGCGCAGCTCCTGTCCCCGGCGGCGGCGGCAGGAGAAAGGGCGGGCGAAGCTTGAGGCTGCAGCCCTTCAAACTCCGAGCAGCGCGCGAGGCAGTGGGCTCTCGGGGACCCGCCTCCCTGTGGTCATGCCGGCGGCCGCTCCTCGGCGGCGGGGGAGGGGACGGGGCGGCGCGACGCAGAGGGATCGGGCCAGGCTGCTGCCTCCTCAGATGCTCTGACAGGCGCCAGCGAGGACACCAACTGACTGAGCACACGCTCCCGCGAGCAGGCGGGCTGGCGGCGGGCGGCGGCGCTCCGGCTACGGTCACGGGAACAAACAAGGAAGTGCTCTGCGCACGCGCCACCGCCCCCCCCTCCGCTGCGGCCCCCGCCCCGCCCCCGCCGCCCGCGGCCCCGCCCCCGCCCCCGCTCCGCCTCCCAGGCCGCGTTCTGACTCCAGCGCGGGGCGGGGGCCGCCCCCAGAGCACAGACTGCAGCGAGCTCCTTACGCCAGCGTTTGGCGAGAAGGGGGACCAAAAAAAGTTGTACGCGTTCTTTCTGAGTCCGATGTGGGTGCAGGAAACGAGCGTGGAGAGTCGCCTCCTGCTGTGAGGGGCGCGGGGCGGCCGGGGGACCGGAGCGAGGAGCCAGACCCTTGCCCAGGCTTGCAGCTGCTTGCTCGCCCCGCTCCCGCCTACATTCCCTTTGCGGGGCGCTCACCGCCACTGGAAGGCTAGTCTGTGTGCAGTTCGCGTAAGTCGCTAAAACGCTAATTGAAAACAAACGAAAGGGTTTTTATTTTTTACAGCTTTCTAATCTTTCATGGCCGATTTTTTTTAACCCGGAGGAAAGACCAGGGTCAGGGGCTGTAAGATGCGTTTCCCGAGGTGCAAATGGTGTACAACGCTAAGCAGATGCCAAATTTCCGCGGAAATGTACCAACAGATTGCTCATCCCTCGGCCCCGGCAGATGTCTATTTTTCCTACTAGCTCAGTCTACTTAGTCCAAAGAATCCATTTAATTTCTCACCATTGATTGTGGATAAAGTTAGTTTAAAAAGAAAAACAAAACCTAAGCACTTGGGAAACAACACAAGATTGGCTCCTGAATTGGAGCTGGCAGGAGCCTTCCACAGCCACCTCAAAGCTTAGCACCCAAATGCGCCCCCTGAGGGCGGACTGCTGGCCCTGTGGCCTATGACAGCATTGAGTCCCTGCTATCTTGAAAGGTTACCTGTATCCTCTGGTCTTTAACCCCAACTACAACAGCATGTCAAGGTAAGGGAACTTGTCTTTGCATTGGGCTTGGGGCAGATAAGTAAGTAGCCAAGTGGTTGTGAAATGAAAATGCATGAGTTCACTTACTGTCAACAAATAATGTACCAGTACCAACGGCTATGGAGATTCCATAGTGACCATGCCCCTGCTCTGGTGAGTGTACCTTCTAGTAGGGCATGAGCCAGCCAGCAAATACATCAGATAGACGGGACTATATATAAAGTAAGAAAGTGATGGAGGCAGAAGGAATGTCCAGAGAAGGCCCCTATGACAAGGTGACATCTTTAGCAGAAAAAAGAATAGGCTGAATCCCATTGATATTCGGTGGGCTTAAGGGATCTTAGCCTTCAGTTGCCTCACATGAAGAGCAAAGATAAGAGCACCATCCCCATGAGGTTGTTACATGATAATGATGAGAAAGTGCTCTGTGTACAGGAAAGCCATTCTGAGAGTTTGAAGCATTTTGTGTGACAAGGTCATCCTGCATGTGGAAGGTTCAGTGACTTGGAGGAAATGCAGCCCCTATCAGTGTGGGCTAGTTAAGTTCTCTGAGCCTCAGTAACCCCATGCTAGGCCACGGAGCAGCTGAGAGCGCAACAACCAACACTTATACCTCCATCCACTCCGAGAGCTTTCCTCTAGGCTGCAAATCAATTTAGATGTCAACTTTGCATTTATTCTTTTCTTCCCTCTATTCCAAGTTGTCATTTAATGCCTGTCACCTCTGCTGGGCTGATACCTCCCCTTCTACCCTATATGTATGGCTTATAGGAAAAGCTATACTATGCCTCAATAACTATGAGCTGTTATTAAAAGCCCAGAGTCAATGAATGACTGCTTCAATTCTAGAAGCCATGAGTTCCAGAGCTTTCTCTCCTAATAATTGATGCTGTCACATTGGGCCTTGGTTCCATTGTAAAATAAAGGGGGGATGTGTCAAAAGGACTACACAGATCTCTTCCCGCTGCAGCTGAGTCTGTGTATACCCTCAGCTCTACAGATACAAGGAAGAAAGATCATTGCAGGCCAAGCTGATTGCGGTGGTAAACAGCCAGGGATTTCTTTTTTGACTGAATTCACAGGAGAGCCCAACCTTGCTGTCATTAATTGGTGTTTCACTTTCATTTGAAGATTATTTTATATATCTGCTCCTTCTCTCCATATCCTCGGGCAAAGAAAGGAACGTGTGAACAATGTGATACTGTGCCCCGGTAAGAATGCACCTCCTCACACTGGTCTGCAGTTAGAGCTTTAAAGGTTCACACCGTTTCATGAACCATGATGGGTTCATGGGCCGTCACCCTCTTTAAATTTGAAACCATGCCCCAGCGCAGACCATCTGCACCTCTCATTTTCTCAAGTACCCTGAAAACCATTCCTGGATATCTGCAAGTGAATAGACTCTGATTTGGGCGGAACTTAAAACGCTGGATTTTTGTGTGTGGAGCTGCTGAGAAATACATATCATCCTTTCCAGAGCCAGGAATCACACATGCACATGCACACACACGCACCCTCACACTTGTGTGTGCCAGTGTTGTATAAGGTGGGCTCATCTTATCGTCATCGTCCCCATCAAAGACTATCCAGCACCGTTGGACTCCTCAGGTCAGTTTCTTACTCTGAGCACTGCTGACAGTGGTCCTTGTGGGGTGTTTTTTACCTCCTTAAAAAGAGGCAGTGAGAACAGTGGTGGCCTATCCTCAGGGACAGTGGTGGCACTACTGACCCCACTGTCCTCAGGAATTGGCTCAGTTATATTTGCAGTTGTGGCTATCACTCCCACCCATCTGCCCAACCACCAGAGGAGTTAGGTCTGCAAGATGGCTGACAACGCACCAGAGGTGGAGAGTCGGGGTGGAGTTTGGGGAACTCTGCGAGAAACCAAGGAGTTATTGGTGCTCTCATCAACAGTGCTCGCCAGCACCCCAAGATGATGGGATGGAATCACAGCATTCATCAAAGGGTCCCCATGCCTTCATTGGGACAGGACAATGGGTAGTGTAGGCGGAGAAGATGCTTTGTGTGATGGAGATGTGGGTTTGAATCTCTAGTCTGTCTCTATTAGCCTTGCTTTCTCATCTGCAGAATTAGGGTAATAATAAAACTATGCTACAGGTTGTTATGTGAAATAAAATGATAAGATGTGGATAACACAGTTGATGTACAGTGAGTAATCAATCGGTGTTAGTTCCCTTTGAACTCCCTTTTTATGAGAAATGTGACTATAAATACATGTCCCTGCATTCCAGGACTCTGGTATGTCTCTAAACTAGTCACCTGGAGGAGGAAGATGAGGTGGAGGGGAAGGCTGCACAGCAATCCCCCATGTTTGGGATCCCGAATTTGGGACTCATCTTCAGAGACCTCATTTATTCTTGTAAAGATCCTTTGTGAGGCAGATCCATTAGTAATGGTTATGGATTTGGGAAGTAAATAAGCAGTTATCTAGAGAAACAGGATAAACTCTAATTGAGACCAGAAGTGAGCTGAGGCCATAACATAAAAGCCTCATTTTCAGAGAACATCATTCTTGTATAGAAGGCTATTCCGAGCAAGGCAACTCCTGAAGGATAGAAAGACATTTATTTCGCAGGAGCATGAGTTACAGGCTGACTCATTATGAGAAAGACAGGCTCACGTCTCTGCCATGTTGTGGTTTTTAGAGATCGATTGTTAAAGCAATTAACTTCTCTAGGCTATCAGACCTTGTTAAAGTGAATTACGTCTCTGAGCCTCAGTTTTTTAATCTGCCAAGTGGGGGCAGTAAATAGTAAGTATCTCTGAGAATTCAATGGGCCTAGGCACATAAAGTGCTAATTAGCAGGGTAGACAGCAGCTTCCAGATACTATGAGATATTGACAACTTTATCTGGAGATATAAATTCTCATATTCCTTACAAAAAATTTTTAGTGAGATCCGCCACAAATAAACATCATGCTAAGTATAGATTTTGGACACACATATTCCCCTTTAAACTTCAGGACAATTTCGTGCAGTGAGTATAATTATCCCAAATTTACCAGAGAGAAATGTTAGGCTACTGAGGTATAGGATCCAACTTTCTTTGCTCCGACCCCGGGCCAGGCACTGCACAGCCTGTCGTGTATGCAGTGTCTGAATTCAGTCACGGGACAGTCCTGAAATGGGAATATTGCGACAGTGGGAACTGAGACACGGTGAGGTTTCCCTGCAGGTGAGTGTCCCAGAGCTGGGCAGATTAAATCCAGGGCTTTCTCACCACCTGCGCACTCGGTCTCCTGACTATACCTCATGTTGAGCTTCTCTGTTAGAGATGTTTCCCAACCCAGGCAACCAGAGAAAGGATTCTCATTTTCTTATTTCACCTGAGAATGTACGAATTCATTTTCTATCATCTTAATGAAGTCACAGAAGAACGAAAAGGGCTGCGGGGGGCAGGAGGAGGCCAGGATGAACCTGATTCCACGCATCTTACTGTCAAGACTTCTATTGCTATATTTGACCTGGGCTAGACCACCGTTTTCACGTGCCTCGTGTAAGTACTTCCCACGTGCGCTCATGCAATTTCCCACAATAATAATACCTGCAGTCTATTCTAGTCCCAAAGGTACTCGATGTAAATACTCCAGGTAAAACCGCTGGAGT